GGACTCTCCTGCTAAATTCTTGTCCATTTTATCTAAGTTCTGTAGAAACTAGTGCTCTGTAGTGGGCAGGCTACACATCTGTACATCCTGAACGAAATTGAAGAACCTTGAGGACTCAGGTTTATATCAGATAATAAAACCCTTGATGGCAGCTTGGATTAGTCAATGGCCACTACCCTGCTGTTCAGAGCACCATCTGGAACATAGTCAAACTTGTCTACCTTTCCCTCCGATTACTAAGGCATTGGAGAAAACCTCCCTTTGTCTGTTTTTGACACTGGTGACAAACCCCTCTCTAGCCATCTCTAAAGCAAAGTCCTCTTCTGGTTAACAGAACTGCTGGCAAAAAAAATCAGAAATGCCCATTTGAAATGACTTACATTATGAAAGCCACACAAAACTTCTTGTCTTTTAATGCAGCTACTAAATCATGATGGGGAGGAGGCAGAGAAAGGAGAATTTTAAGGACAACTGCTTTTTTATTTTTATTTTCCTTTTTATTTTTTGTGATTTCTTTATTAGACACAGTATATGTGTCAGCTATTCAACTCATCAAAAAGCAGAAAAGCATGCCAGGAAAGGAGAAATATTTTCTGTCTCTCTCTTCCTGTGAAAACTTCAGATGAGCTCATCTGTGTTCTCTCCTTTCAATGAAAGATATGCTCATCCTTCATCTTTTTCTCATTTTCCAGTGATGATGTCAGGCAGGCCTTACAGTATCTCTTTTGTGATCTTATAAAATCAATGACAACCAAAACCGTTTCCCTTATGGCCATGACCTCATCCATGGTCTACACCTGGGCAGGACTCATCTGCATTGGTAAGTAGAGCCAAACTCCACTGATCCAGCCTGAAGCAATTTGCCAGGAAACTACTGCTTTCCTTCAAAACCCTGCTTTACCATTCAGATTGGTTTCTGAGCAACTTGGCTGAGTGCTGAATCTGACTAGTCGAGATGGCTCTCCAATCTTTGTGCCCATCTCTCTGCACACCAGAAACTCTCCTTTTACCCAGAAGGGTCTATACCTGATGTAAAGTAGTAAGTACTTCAAAAAGTTAGGGATGTGACATTTCAGGGATATTCTTATGCTCCTCCCTACCTCCTCTTACCCTCCCATCTACTGTATGCTACTGTCATCTACATTCTTAGTAGTGAAACAGGTATCCAATTAAGTCAATTTAGGACAGAAAGGAATTTTGTGTCCTTGTGTTTACATGGCTGTGGGCTTCCTTCTGAACCCAGGAAGTTGATAGGTTGATCCATTCTGAGATGCAAAGTATTCTCAAATCTCTGAGACTTAAAGATAAATCAACACATAATGGATGGGCGTGGAGAAAAGCAAAAGGATACTGGAGAAAATATTTTATGGGCCCAAATAAGGCAGAAGAAGGAAGATATGGCTATAATAGCATGTCTGAAGCTGAACTGTGTTTAAAGAAAAATTGTGTAGAGAGTAGCAATGGACCTAAAATGAATCTGAGAAGTGGAAATGGGAACACACTCTATACAGAGGAGGGAACAACCCAATGGAAGAGGTCTGGTTGTGAGCCAAGGAAAGCTCATCAGGCCTGCTTCCCTGTGGCCCAGGTGAAATATTCCTTACCACAAGCTATCTCCCTTGCTCTGTATCCAGGAAGGCTAGTCCTTTCCAGATGGCTAATTCAACTTCCCCAGCTGGCATCGAGATGTTGAGAGCGAGGTGCTCTATCTACAAAGGGTGTGTGAGCATTCTGGTCTCTGAAAAGAAGTCTTCCCTACTGTAAAAATAACATGGCTTTTGTTTTATGCATTATCTTCCCAATAACAATAGCTAACAAATATTGAGTGCTTGCTATATGCCAGGCACAATTATAAGCATTTTGTATGAATGAATGTATTTAATCTTCACAAAACCCCTCTGAATCATGTGCTATTCTTATCACCATTTACAAAGGAAGAAGCCAAGTCAGAGAGAGTAAAGAAGTCGCTCGAGGTTATACAGCCAGGAAGTAATAGAGCCAGGATTCTAATCCAGACCATGAGGCCACAGAGCCCTCAACCTTAACTGTCATGCTCTGCTTGCTCTTGTGAATTAGTATGAACCAATTTCCCCACTTCTGGTCAACTCAGGCACACTGGCAAGACCAAAGTTCATACCCTTTTTACAAAATCATGGAGACACCGGAGTATCTTGAGTCTCGAAAGGATGTTTTTCCCTTTTGGTCTAATATTCATACAGAAGTAAAGGCAAACAAGCAAACAAACAAACAAAACCTGCCATGTTTTTAGAAGTCCAGAAGCACTGAGATTTACCATGAAGGTTAAAAAATTTTTTTAAATGTTTATTTACTTTTAAGAGAGAGAGAGAAAGACAGACTGTGAGCAGGGGAGGGGCAGAGAGAGCGAGGGAGGCACAGAATCCGTGGCAGGCTCTAGGCTCTGAGCTGTTAGCACAGAGACCGACGCAGGGTTTGAATTCACAAACCGTGAGATCATGACCTGAGCTGAAGTTGGAGGCTTATGGGACTGAGCTGCCCAGGTGCCCCTTACCATGAAGATTGAATTGCAAGTGAGCTGAATCCATTCCTAAGTCTGTACACAGAGTATAGTCTGTGAAGACTTATAATGAAAAATACATGGAAGCAAACTCAGACTAATGTTTTACATGTTTTAGAATTGCTTTCAGGATGTATTTAATTTTAGAAAAGCTAGAGAAAGAAAAAAATTAAAAAAACATGTATTGAGTGTGAACTATGTGCCGGGCATTGGGCTAGGTGCTTTTTCACATGCACAGTCTTATTTAACTCACAACAATCCCATAAAATATTATTAATTTCATTTTTTACAGATGAGAATGAAAACTCAGTGAGGTTATATACTTTGTTCAAGATAAGCAGTATAATTGGTAATCAAATCAGAAAGGCTTGACACCCACTGTCCCCTTATATTTAGTGTGTATTTGGGTGGTATTTTATAGACCACTACGGGGATCTTGCATACATTTGAAGGAAATTATAATTATGTCTCGATTTTAGGTAGTCCTATATACATCTATTGCCTTTACTAGTCTGTAAGCATTATGGAGCACAAAACTCAGGCCTTATTTATTGCTCAGTGTTGCACACTACTTGTCAGAGGGTGTGCCTGGAACGGTAGCTGGTGTGCCACTTAATACTAGGTGTTGTCACTAGTGCGGTGTAGCAGATAATCCCAGGTAAAGACACAAATACAATCTTAAGGCAACACAGGCACATTTGGAGCCTTAATTTTTCACCCGACTGTTGGATTCATCAGCAGACCTGAATGAACCCCTGCACCGAAGTACAAGGGCACAGTCCCAGGGGTGGTGTTTGTGATCTAATTCTTCGGTCAAACCCTTTCCTTCCATTCCCTAGTGCCTCTTTTGCTGCTCTCTCTGTTCTGGCTTTGAACGCTTTGGCAGCCTCCAATAGCTCTTCTTCAAAGAGCTGAAGACAAGTCTGATGTTACAATTGCCTTACTTAATTCCAGACAGGTTTCCATTCACCGTATTAAATTCAGGTGAACAAAGGGTATTTAGTCTGTGACACAGCTGAACCGTATCAGGATAAATATAAACAAGAGAGTTAAGTCCGTAAGAGCCACTCTTTGCCAACAATTGGAAGGATGTTGGCAGCACCCCTGCTAAGGCAGGTTGGAGTGTGGAAGGCAGGAGAGATTTTAAGAGATTGGTGCGGTGCATCTGGCCTCTGTATAAAGAGGGGAATAAAGATTGTAAACTGGAATACATTAGGAGAAAAGCGAGTGTTCTATTCACACACACAAAAACTAGGCATTAATATCAGTCTTTAATCTACCCCTGGGCCCCTCAGCTTGCCTTATTCATTGCTGCCTTTCATCTTCCCTGGAAAGCCTCTTGCTAAAGGTCCCTTTCCAGATCAGCCTTAGGTCATGGGGACAGAAATACTGTTGCAAAATAGATATGCAAGGGAGTAGCATGTGTGACTGGAAAAGAGTGTGACAACATAATCCCAGCATGGACTGATGAGGTCAGTGTGGGGTGATGGTCGCTTTTCTAGCATCTATGGAATCATTTGATGGGAGCAGCAGCTGAAAAGAATAAAACAAACACAGGCAACACACCACCAAAAAGACTGCCTGGCCCAGATCTCAGAGAAAAAAGATCCTATCTCAGTAGGATAGGTGGGGAGGGAACAATGAGCTGGGAGTTAAGAGGCCTCCCTTCTTATCTCTACAACTAGCTGAGTGGCTGCATGACCTTAGTGGTTACCTGGCCTCTAAGAAATGAAGGCACTGGTGCAGTTGATATCTAAGGTCTTCTTCAGTTTCAAAGGCACGGATTTGTGTCCTGTATAAATGAGGTTTTATAAAGCACACAATGACAAGACTACAACCTTGGGAGGCATCATATTCTGCATTGCAATGTTCTTATGTCACATGTGTAGAATGTTTTGCTTAACCTCTATGGATACAGGGAAAGCGTTGGCAGGTGCATTAGAGCAAGAGGTTGATATAAAACAGAATCAGAGAGAAGAACGCTTCTGCTTTAAACCATGACCACAGAATTCCAACTACCCAGGAGTCTTACAGTCTTCTCTGCAACAGGTGAAACAAGGAGCAATGACAGGATCCTCAAGGAGCATTCAATGATCTCAGGTCGTAATTCATATTCTCTAACATGTTATTTACTGGGACACAACTCCTTTGCTCATGTCATCCTTTCTTCCTGGAATATTTCACCCGCCTTGACTTATCAAAATCCACTCATTCTGACTCAGAAATCTCCCAGATGGAATGAAATGTCTTTGCACACCTTTAGGTTATCATTTATAGCACTTATTGCATTTTACCTCATATTATACTTCATCGCCATTTAATTATAACTATAGGTTATGACCTTTCTGAAGGCAGGGTATAAATCTCATTTATGGATGTGCTCCTGGGCTGGCTTGGCACACTGTATGTATCTACTCAATAACGGTGCAGTAGTGAATCAAAGGACGCGGGATTTTCATGTTACCTGCTAGTGTGACGGCAATGGAGACGGAGTCATATCCCAAGGCATTTGTGGCATTACAAGTGTAGAAACCCACATCAGCTTCCACTGGTGCCAGGATCTGTAAGGAATCATCGGGCTGCAGAAGAATTCTGGAGCAACAGAAAAGAAACATAGACCTGGTCATGTCAGGTGCCTCCCTTTTGGAATTCAATACTGGCAAGGCGGGAGGGAACAGCATTTTAAGACAGAGACAAACCAGCCAGAGTGACACTCAGGAACTCAGGCTCTCTTGCCACTATGATTGGTGTGATTCTGATAGCAACCCCAAATGAGCTTTTTTTGATTACTTAAGCAGCTTGTTGATTACTTGATCTAAAAATACCAGTGGGAGGAGACAGCAGATGTGCACTGAATACATAGAACACCCATGACAGGGATCAGAGGGCATGCTGGAATGAACGGTGCAGATGGGATTTGCAAAAGGCTTATTAAAGAAAAGGAAAAATCATAAAGGAGGACTGGAGCTTTATTGGATGGTGGAAAGTAGGCAGAGCTCCTAAATATGGAGAAAAGCATCTGGAGTAAAGACTCAGAGGGAGGTAAGAGGAAGCCAGGAGTCAAAAATATTGATGAGAGAATCTTGATGCATATGTTTAAGGAAATTGTATGCCTAACTGCCTCTCAGTTCTAGGTAGTCATACATACATCTATTACCTTTATTAGTCTGTGAATATAATGGGGTATAATACTCAGGTCTAATTATTTCCTATAATACTTAATAAAAGACCATCTGTAGGAAAGGTGCACAGTAGAATGGAGGCAAAACCTGCCCATTAGGGCAAGGTAGAGAATCCCAGAAAAATCCCCATGTAGTTCAGACACACTGCTTTCCCTGAAAAGAATAACAAGAATCACATTGTGAGTGTCTAGCATGAGCTTCAAAACCAGTCTCAGTCTACTATTTTTTCTTTTCTGGATTATGTCATGTCTAAGAACCACCTGCTATATCATGGCAGTTAGGGACAGATGATGACTTGAAGCTGATGCCTCGGTGACTTGATGAGGCTGATGATAACTAGAATCTGTTGGTGGAGGTGGGAATCTGGACAGGTGGGAAGGAGAACAGGGTAGGAAGCTCAGAGATTCAGTGCCTGGACCTGCCATGGCCTTAGGTTGGTAAATCATTCAACACACAGAAATGCCTTAGAGGTGGCTTCTGGCCCCCTAGAGCCAGTAATTTCCATCTTTGTGAAAATTTCCACCTCCCTAGTTTCAAAAGGCCCAAAGATCTGTTTACCTAATATCACGTTAACATCCATCTGCAGGAGGTAAGTTGGAAACAGAGGCCATTTTTCAGAAAAGGGGGAAAAGCACATGAAAATGTCAGAAGAACTCAGAAGACTTGTTGGTGAAATTAATATGAGGAGTCAGACCTCCTGCCCTAGCTACACGTTCTCCCCACTATACAATTCTTTTCTTTCTTCACTGTTTCTCCTGTTGGGTCCTCTCCAGACTCTATGAGACTAGCATTTTGGCAGTGCCTCTCATCAGCTCATAGTTATTTTGAGGTGGGCGACCAGTCTGGCAATGAATCAGGCCTCCTCAAGTGTGTCTTTGGCCTTGGGCCTACTGCACTGCTTATTCTTACCTCCTGTCAGGGGAGGTGGAGGAAGGATGAAAAGCAAGGTTTACATGTATCAATCTTCAATCTAGTTATGCAGTTCTGGTAATAATGGGGAAGAAAATAGAAAACCGCAGCTAAAGAGAAGTTTCTGGATGGTCTGTGTTTGGTTCAGACCATTCCAGACCATCACCCCCTACTGCTGAGGACAGTCAAGCTTGTGTGGCATTGAACTTGAGCTGAAGCTTCATGAGGGATGGGAGAGAGGCCACAGTAAACTATTGTAAAACTCATTCATTCACACATCCATCAAATGTGAAGTGTTTTTTTTTTTGAAGTCAAACAATTACATGGTAGTTTCTTTTAGAGAAGCTAATAAGAGGACTATCCAAATTTCTTATCTCTGGTAAACCATATAATATGTAATAATGTCACTAAAAAGAATCTTAATGGACACTACATATTATCATTGTTAAATCTCTTCAGGTATTCAGGCTGTTTTAAAGAAAATTAAAGATTGACTTTATGATTTAAGTCATTATGATGTCCCAAGAACATGTAGGCCTCCATAATGCTTTCCAAACAGCAATAATAAAAGCAGGCTTAATCAAATTTCATGATAGTTGAGTTTAGTCCATCATTACTCAGTTTTACTACACTCAAAAGGCAGGGATTAGAATTTGCTAAATTCCCAAATCCATTGGGATAGCTGCCTCAAACCAGCACCCTCTGTCTCTTCCCTACAGAAAGGTTTCTTGAATTGAACATTCAGAGAAGGAGGCTACAAGACATGTCTTTTGAACTTTATTTTGGTCCTGGTATTGCTTATGTAGTCACCACTGGCAGATCCCTTTACCTTCCTACATTTCAGCTTATCAACATCTCAAACCCAGTTGAAGTAGGTTTACTTACACAGCAGAGGACACTGTAAAAATGAGGTATATAAGGAATTTCCAAACTATCTTTTAGTATTTCCAATGATGCTTATATTAGTAATATTGGACACTCTGAATGAAGAATTAAATGCAAGGAAGGACGGGAGTGGTAAAGACTGTAAGAAAATAAGAAAATCTCTTGGCCAATTCTCTCCAGCCGCCCCCCCCCCCGCCCCCAGTTTATTAGATCTCCATATTCAGATCATTTTTCCCCCACAGAACTACTCTATCTGCCTGATCTCATGCAGGAGGTGTAAACCGCAGTGGATCTGAACCACCTACCTTTTAAGATGAGGGTTAGCTTTTGCACAGGTGCTACTGAGTCAGCCACAATGCTTTCTGAGCATGCCCGAGGGCTCAGAAAGATTCCCACAGAGGTGATAAAGAGGAGGAGGAGAGCTTTCACACCAGGCTAAATGCCATAAGGGTCTGAACTAGAATGGCAATTGTGGGAATGGAAAGGAACGAACCTAGACCTTGAGATTCACCATTTGCATGTTCTTTTATTCCATAAAATGTGTACACAGAGATAAAGATGATAAAGTATTTGCCTTCATAAAAACAGTCTTAAATATTATCGTAAGACAAAACCTACATGGGGCAAAATCTGAAATTGTCACTTATTGGATATACTTTCAAATTATTTACACTCATAAAACTGAACTTTTTAGCTGAAGGGGGGCTACAGAGTTATTTGGTAACAGAGTCAGAATTTGAAGTAGAGTCTTAGTCTAACATTCTTTTTTTCCATGTATCATGTCTTTGATATGTCCTTCATATTGGTAGTTGAGGGTTTGGAGGCTGCCTCCAGGGGGAGCAGTAGTTATGGAGAGGGTTCCCATGCAGGGCTCTCTAGGAAACATGACAGGGCAAAGGAAAGGGCTTGATATAGAGACTGAGGTTCGCTTTAGACTATCTAGCCTGGCATCTAGGGAGAGAGATTCCTGGGGAAAAAACGTTTTCTTTGTATTTCAGGCGTCTACTCTATTAATTTAACTTAATTTGTTAGTAGCTGATTTCTGTCAGCTTGTATTTAGTTTTCAGATTTGACAGGCCTGTTTTAGAATGCACAGGCACAGAAACATGGTGCTGCTTTCCAAGCAAAACCAGAAAGATTTCTCTGGGGTTGTTTTGGAATGTAAGGAATCAGAGAATGAGGGGACATGGAATGGGGCATAATTAAGACCTACATAGAAAATGGTCCTGTGGTCACATTAGGTATATTAATACTAGCTGCCTTTCTCCCATACCCATACCCCACTTCCTTTTTGGTTTACTGAGCTAAAACTTAACGGCTTTATTTCTTTGGTTATGCTGTTAGCCAGAAAATTAAGGAATTTTGCTTTTCTGGTGGCCTTGTAAGCTTTTTTCATGACAGCATGTCTTCTATAGCATTCTAGCAATGAAGGAGCAGCTGGGAGAATAAAAATAATTGCTATAGTTATAGAAGTATGGCCCCGATCAACCCTGTGATTAGGCTATGGACAAAGTGTCCATGGGCCAGTCCTATCAAGGACAAGCTCCTTGAAGTGAAGTTGTCTCCTCTGCATGTGTAATGGTCAGTGAGAAAGTACTCTTGTTTGAAAAGGAGGCAGCTCTGGGGATCTAAAAGAAAGCCTCTAGCAATTCTGTGAGTGGGGTGGCATCATGATGCCTTATGAATCCTTGGCTCAACTGTGAACATCACAGTCTTGTGCAGGCCCATCTCTCAAAGTGAACACCATGGCTGACCACGTTTAGCTGCTGTGGAGAAGAAGCCTTCTGATTTCAGTTGAGAGAGACAGAGTCATGTGGAGGTCTTAGGTAAGCTTTTCAAATCTGAGCTTACAAGTTCTTTCTACAAATAGAGGATAATACTGACCTCAGACAGTTCTTAGGAGGATCAAATAAAGGAGTATATAGACCCATTCTTATGGTTTTGTAAGTAAAATAAATCAGCTTCAACATCAAATGCATCTAATGAATTAGTATTTTTTAAAATGATGCAGGTGGTGGTAACCTGTGTTACCATCTTGGAACTCCTCCTTTTTGAGAGGAAATTTTAAAAGTCTGGGCACAGAAATAGCCACTGACTATACAGGCCATGATGCTGTACCATCTCAGGCCTCCCACCCTGACAAGCAAGCATTTTTTTTTTTTTTAATGTAGGCTTCATGTCCAGGATAGAGCCCAATGCAAGGCCTGAACCCATGACCCTGATACCTAGAGTCAGACCAAGCCACCCATGTAACTCTGATAAACATTCTCAGACCCATTTTAGGTCTCAACACAGTATTGAATGCTGGAAATCATGGGTACATTCTCTTTAGAACAGTATCTTCCTCTTTTTGCAAACCTAGCCTGTCCCACATCCCAGCAGAAACTTGTTGCTCTAGTCAAGATGGCCTCTTTTGGCTCTCCTTGTCATTAGCTTGGGGCTGAATTCATGCTCTTTCTCCTTGCATCTATCCTTCCAAATTCTCCCTTTCAATTAAGAATGAGTCAAGTTCTACCTCTTGTGTTACCACTGTCTACAAGAATTTCTCCCTTTCCTGATCATCCAGAGTTGTTCTGAGCTATACTACAAAACCTTTTCTACTCTACAAGGTCTCAT